CTATCAGTTTCTCTTATCATAATTTTATTCCTATTGTTTTTTTTTTTTATTTTTGCCATCAACAAAACCTATGGATGCATTCTGTTATGCTTATTGCAATTGCTATTAAATGCTAGTTATATCCGCTTTATGGACAGTTGCTAAATGATGATAGCGATGTAAAAGAATGTATGTAGTAAGTAGTATATGTGGACAATACCGACGCTCCAGTCATAAATCGTACGCTTTGTAAATTATTTAGCTTTTATGTTTAAATGTAGATTATTGATTATTCCAGGTGGATCAGGTAGAAAAAAAAAAAAAAAAAAGGATGCGAATATTTCCTGCAAATTGATTCATCGTATATTTTTATTGTGGGATAATTTCAACAGATTATTTGCTCACAAAACAAATATATTCTATCAATCTCTATCTCTTCTAGGTGGCATTACGTCCACAATTCGACGATTATTCTTTGAATTTGATAATTTATAGGATTACATCAAATTATTTCAATCTGTTAAATCAAAAACATTATGACTATATTTATAATAAGATGTTAATTATATGCGATATTACATTGGATAGTTTAATGGTTATTTGATTAATTCAACTTTACACTCCAACTTTACCTCTTACCTGCCAGTGTAATGGGATTTGATTTAACACAAATTGGCTATTGTTCGAGCAGCCAAACACAACAACAAACAACTTTTCCATCATTACCGCCTGTCCGATGTGGGGAAAACATTCAGCAACTTGATAATGTTCCAATTTCCAGTTCGTTTTCGAATAATAATACTTCATTGTATAATTAATGAAGATACCAATAGTATGTAGATAATTATTTAAATTTGAATAATATAATCAAAACTATGGACTATAAATAGATCCATACTAACTCAACAATTTGTTTACTCCTTGAAATTATTGCAAGAATTTTTCAACTAAAAATTCTTCAACTTTTCTTTTCGTTTCAAAAGAAAAGAATTAGTTGAGGAATTGCAAGTTGCGAAAAATAACGAAGAGAAGAATTCGAAGATATAATTATCCTGAAAGATAGTTGAAATTTCAATAAAATTTAAATAACACAATTATCTTTGTCATACAAAATAATGTTAAATATATTTCAATGATGGATAATTGAATTTCAATTTAAGCGTTTTCCCTTTTTTTTTTTTTCATCTCTTTCAAACAAATGATATTTACTAATTTCCACATTTTACTATGAGACTGCAATAATTGAGCACTCCAAAAATTCAATAAATTATATTCTAAATATAAATTTGTGCTGAATAAGTAATATTCAAATTCGAATTAATACTTTTAGAACGTATACCAAATTGTCAAAAATGCGGACAACATGGAAGAAAATCGCGACTGAAAGGACACAAGCGCGTTTGTCCCTATCGTGATTGTAATTGTGCAAAGGTATTAATTGATTCATTTCAGAATTCTCTTCAGGATTAAATTGTTAAGATGTGGTGTTTTCCAACAAGAATTTCGCAAAACACGAAATTTTGAATTTTCAGTGTCAAGTGGTAAGCGAAAGACAAAAATTGATGGCAGATCAAATAAAAATACGACGACGGCAGCGGAAGGATACGCTGCTGAATATAACACGAGAAAATATCACAGCAACTTTAAATGCTGCCGCAGCAGTAGCCGCATCCGGTCCGCTACCCTATTTCCACAATTTTAACGCACTTCTCTGTAAGTGCTTTTTTGACTATTTTCTAGTATTTAGAATAGTGACATAGAAGCAAGAGGCTTTTTTACTTGAATAAATAAAATAAAATGCTCACACCTAAACGTGAATATAGCGTGCATATGGTTGCTTTTATGTGTACCGTTTTCTTCAATATTTTAAACTCATTCTGACAATGAAATTGAATGACCCTGGAGCCTTATATTTCGAAACTTGAAGGGACATCCATAAAAAAGTACAAAGTGGACTGAAGTACTTAAATTTCAGACAAACAACTTCAGCAAAACATGCGGCATCCAGCAGTATCATTTCTACCGGGTCAGCCGCCACCTACAGAAAATATCTTAGAAACTGGCTCCTTTAACAACACTTCAGGTACTTTGAGTAGTTATCTTGCTGGCTCTGCAGCAGCAACTTCATTGAAACTCGGTCAATCGCCACAGCAACGACCCTCGCCGTCCGCATTACCGCATCTGCAGTTTCTTTTCCAACCGCAGGTGACCACTCCAACTACCACAACAACCAGTACCGCAGCGGAATGTGACCTTCCCGCACTTTCCATCACACCACCATGTACACAATCTGATGGTAGCACAAATGCAATCGTTCCAGCCAATCCACCGATAGCCGTTCCCGTACCTATTAATCCAATGTCAGTTACGGGAATGGCTCCAAATCTTGCAGCACAAAATGCTCTATCCAGAACACTGCAACAACAGCGACAACAACAACATCATCATCAACAACAACAACAACAACAACAACAACAACAACAACAACAACAACAACAACAACAACAACAACGACAGCAACAAACTGATCTAACGACCCAAGTAGCCGTAGGTCAAACGTTAACAAATCAAATCCCAGCTTTCCTGGACAACGATCACTTATTCCAAACACTTTTAAACAATATGCGGCAATTGGAATGGAAAATTCCCATGGAAGCTACACCAACGGCCATCATTCCGGAAAGCGGCAACAAAGCGGAAACAAGTCATATGTCAAGCATATTTGTCGATGTTTGCAGTATGTAAGAAAGAAAACAAAAATATTTCAATGATTTGTTTCATTTTTTCCTCCTTTGTTTTCATCCCTCTTCCCTATTTTTTTTTCCATTTTTACTTTAATTTTTATGGTAGTTTAGTTTGGCTTCCTTTTTAATTTTAATTCAACTTGAAGCATTGCTAAAAATTGACTTTTTACCCTCTGCTATTTTATTTTACTTTTAATTCGAACACAATATTTTCCGAAATTTAATCAACTACGATTTTTTTTTTTAATCATACAAATTTAACATAAATTGTCTTAATTTTTTTTCTTTTTTTTTTTTGTTTGCAATGCACAAGTTGTATAGAATTTGCTCGCACTTTCATATTCCTGTTTACAGGGTCATAATCCCGGTATTTATTTTTTTAGACCGGTATTTGTTGTTTCATAATTCCATGATATAAGTATTGCTTCCTAATTGGAAAAAATTCCTTTTGCTTGTCTCATAGGAATACAATCCGATATTACGCTTGAGATTCCGTCATGATATATCAAATAAAATCAAACTATTATCAATGCTTTTTGCATAGATTTCTTCTTTTTTCTTTTTTTCACTTTTGGCATTCCCATTCAAATTATTGCACAATTTCGCCGCAATTTATATGCAATTTTGAAGTTGAAATTCCTGAATTGCTCCCGCAGACCGTTGCGGAAACCGTTGCAATCATTGTCATTTTATGCTTTGTAAGTAGGCTCGTCTTTCAACTGGGATGTCTATTCTATTTTTGTTCTTTCCTTTCTTCATCAGTAGCTTAGTTTATACAGTTTTTATCGTCCGAAAAAAAAAAAACTAAGACAACAGAACATGCATTAAAGGAAATTATGAACTGAAAATTTCTCCTAGAAATTTTCGAAAAATTTAAAATTATCTTAAAAGATTTTTTCAAATGAATGTATTCAACATACTGCTTATCTAAAAATTCCGGAATTTAAATGGATTTAAAATTAAAATTATATGTAACTGTAATTAATGAAAACAATATTACTGTACCCTTCCTTTACTATATGTTCTTATAGTTTGTTACTTACTTACTTACTTACATACTTAGATATTTGAATAGACAGACCTCAGTAGAGTTGACATTAGCTGAGGTCATCTAAGTTAGTAAGTCATCTATTAAATTTCTCTCTCCCTTTTTTTCCTTATTTTCCATTGCAACGTTACATTTTCCTGCATACTTTGCTTGTTCCAACGAAATCTTGAATTAATCTTTCCCTAATCTGCAATATATCAATCATTCTTTTCTTTTCTTTTCTTTTTTTTTTTTACAAACGAATATATCACCTCATAAAGAATGAAATCCTCATTTTGTTTATACCTCATATACATATAATTTTAGGTTTATTTTTAATTTCTATCATTTAATTAAAATAGTTTTTAAACATTTATAGTAAGTACTGATATTATTAAACGAATTATTGTTTAAGATAGTGTTCGAAAACAATGATTTAGCATGATTGGTAGGCATAAATTACAATATTATTTGAGATTTTTTGAGACAAATTTGTTTGTCAAATTAGCTTCATCAAGTCATTAATTAAGTCATTATCATTATGTGTTATCAAATTTGATTAGGAGTTAAGATAAGATAAGGTATGTTTTCGAACACTTATTTTAAGTACCATAGAAATGAAGGAATCCTTTTCTTATTCATTTAATGTTATTTGATGTTTAATTAAAGATCCAATGATTTATCATTGTTTATTGCTTATTTTTCCACATGATATATTTGCTAATTGATTTAATTTAGGTGTGAAATTTTATGAAGGAAAATAAGTTCTTAAAAAGAAATGATCAATAAATGAATTTAATTTAGGTGTGAAATTTTATGAAGGAAAATAAGTTCTTAAAAAGAAATGATCAATAAATGAATTTTAAAATTGTAAAGTTTTTATTGCAAAGTAAATTTTATTATGATTAATTGATTTTAATTTTAATTGATTTCTTGAAATCTCTCATCTTTTTACAAATTATATATACAATTTGAAAGTTGATCAAATTGAATTTTGATAATGGATACCTATTTTCCTTACTATTACTACTACTACTACTACCACTATTATTATTATTATTATCCGGAATTTAAATTGTAAGAATTCTTTGTAGGAAAATATATTCTTAAAAGTTTGTAACTTTTCAAGATAAACAGATAAATATATGCAAAAATAATTGTTCATCTAATTGAGTAATTGCTAAATTGCATAGCTAAACATAAAAAGTTAGTTTCTATCGATAACTATCATATTATTCCTTTTTTTTTTTATTTATTTTTTTTTAAAGTATTAGATATGATAAGATATTTTATTGGTGATAAAAAAAAAAAAAAGGATTGTATTGTATTATCAGTTGTTGCAATTTTATAATAGAATAGTAAAAAAAAAAAAATTGAAAAATTCTTTAAATAGTAAAAATGTATTGATAATTTTAAAAATGATTTATTAAAAATTTTTCTCTCTCATCCGATACAGTTCTTTCTTCTATTTCTAGCTATTCGTTTTTGTTATATAGCTGGATCCATTTTAAATAAGTATTTGTTTTTTTTTCCTTCTTCCTTTTTTTCTAATCTTTACTGTTCTAAATTTAACAAAAATAAAAAATAGTTTGTTTTCTTTTTTTTCCCCCCCCCATTTCTTTTTTTTTTTCATTTCTTCATCAAATTTCCAATACAATTATTATTTTACTGTTTGGCAAATAATTATTAATGAAAAGTTGGTTTTTATCGAATAATTACCGTATTATTCCGTTTTTTTTTCCATGTAATTTTGTCTTTCTTTACTATAAAGGTGATGAATTCTTGTTTCTTTTTCACCTTACTATATATACTAATGAATTACAGTATATCCAAAAAATACAGTATACCTGAGCACATTTCATCAGTCCATTGCATTTGGGAAAGGAAAAGTAAGTAACTATAAAGGTATTAGTTACTAAAATTATACTTGCATTTAACGAAATTTAAAAACAATGCTCGGGTTACTTCAAATTATCATTATTGCTGGGTTATGGATTGTTATCATTTGAAAATACTGTTATTGAACCAGAATAAGATCCGGAAAACCGGACATCGAGCGTAATATATTGGTATCACGAAGTTACGCATTGGAAGATTTGCCGTTGAAAATACGAAACCAATTTAAAATTTTAAAAGCTTTTAGTGAAACACTTGATTTAAAATGATGAGAATTTAAATTATAAGAAAATGTACAATTAGTATCATACCACCAATTAGTATCATATCACTGTTATATAAATTACTGATAGATTCATTTAATTATTTTATAAAAGACATTTGATAGTATTAATGTTAAACCGAAATGAAATCTGAAAACCGAAATAAGATCCGGAAAACTGGACTGAAAGCATAGCATTTTATAAGGGTAATAAATTTATTTACCTTATTTGTAATATATTGGCTTATTTATAATATATTGGCAGTAAATTTATTTGTCTTTATTTAATTAGTAAGGTATGAGTTTGTCCTTATAACATTTCTTAGTATATTAAATTTTGAAGTGAGCACAAAGGAGTATCTAAAATAGGATTGATATGGAAGAATTTTACCTCGTTAAAAAGGTAATTTTAATTAATTACAGCACAGATATCATAAAACAATGTTCATTTATTTTTATTTAATTTTTAAAGATTGTATTAATTACCAAAACATTATCATCAATTTTATTTTTTCACATGAATATATCTTTATCATACATCATTTCCTTATCACCAACACTATCAAGTTGTTTCTATTAATTCTTATCGCTGTAAATAGACAATGACAAAGGTGTGATACAAACGATACATAACGTATTTTATGCAAATATTATTTTATAATACAAGATTTGGGCGAAAATGAAGCATATTAAATTATGATAAGTGTTGATGGTAACAAATTAAAATTATCATTATTATTATCATTATCATTATCATTGTCATCCATGTATAATGTGCAATT